AGTGTCTGACGGGGCCGTTGGCCCTTGGCCCAACTAACCTTGAGTAAAAAGTAAGGAAAAAAAGCAAAAAAGGTAAGGAAAAAAGAAAAAAATCATAAAATTAAAAAAAATTACAAAGATCTCAGTGATTTCCAGTCAAAATTAACCAGAATGACTATATTGGCAATTCCTTAAAAGGTTCAAGACTAAATTGACAAATGATCAAAAGGTTTACGACTAAATTGGTAAAATTGAAAGATTTATAACTGAATTGACCGTCGTATACTAGGTTTAGAACTTTTTGGACAGAGGTTTTTATAACCTCCATAAACTCACGCATTGGGAGTTCAGGGATTAATTTCAATAATCACAAAGCGAACTCCCACTCTCCCTTAGATCGATAATTAGGCATGTGTGGTACGAATCAAGTGCTCGTGCTCCAATGTTTTTGAGCTGGCGAACACAAACCCACGTGTCTGCATGGCTATCTCGTACTAGCTGGAAGATGCTGTTGTTGGTCACAAAACAAAGGTGACGACCGCTCTACTCTGGCATTATCATTTTTAATACTGTAATTGATTACTACCGACGCAACAAATCTTCTAATGAATGAGCATAATTGAGGAAACTAATTAAAAAAGACAAAGGGGGATCTTCGATGGGAGATCTCTGGCTTTGCTCGGAACGTGCTGTGCGTGCGAGTATTCTAAAGATTGGCATGAGATCCGTGTCTGTTTTCATAATGTTTATGTAAAAAGAAAGGGTTAATACCACGAAAAATTTCAAACTGGTACATTTGTAATAACTTTATCCAAAATTAATTTTTTTATCACAAAAAACCCTCAAACTGGTACACATTTGATAAATTTACCTCAAACTAATTATTTGACCATAAAAAACCTCAAACTGGTACACCTATGACAAATTTACACTCTGTAAGTTTCTGTTAAATTGGATTAATACTACGAAAAATTTCAAACTGGTACACCTGTGACGAATGAAGGGTAAAACCCCAAACCGGTACACCCGTCAACTGCTGCATGTCGTCCGACTCAGTAAATTGATAGTAAAATTTAACGAAAATTAACGGAGGGTAAATTTGTCACATGTGTACCAGTTTGAGATTTTTTGTGGTCAAAAAATTAATTTAGAGTAAATTTGTCACAAACATACTAATTTAGAATTTTTCGTGATATTAAGTTATTAACCCAAAAAGAAAACAAACAAGCGATAATACCACGTTGTTCCAACAGCAGAAAATGTTTCTCTAAAAGAGTTGACCCCTTTTTATTTTCCTTAGTGACAAGCAAAGAATATGAATTATTTGCTCACCTACGGCTTCAGAAAAAGATTTAGTCAAGGGTCACGAAGTGACTGGCACTAGGACCTTCCATTTGTGTCAAAGACAATTCTTGCATGTAATGTCAATTTTTCCGATCGATTCAGTTTATTTACATAAAATGTCTATTCGAGTTCATTTAGCACAAAATCCGATCAAAACTACCGAAATGATGCCGGAGAATAGCTAATTGTGAGGTGGATACATATTGCCTGCGCGGACGCTGGCCATCCATAGAGAACGGATTGGCGAATGGAGATATACAAAAAAAGATAAAATTAAAAATTCACCATCATGCCTCATGTTGAATGTTTGCTTAGGCAATGTTTAAAACGTCATCCAAAGGCCCCGTTGGCCGGATTTTCTGAGTTTATTGTCGCAATGACTTGATTAGACATTTTGTGTGAATAGGAGGGTTTAGTTAGAATAATTGAAAGTATAAATACTTGATTAGAAATGCAATGAAAGTAAAGGGATGAAAGAATAGTTGTTTAGAAATGTGATGAAAGCAAAGGGATGAAAGTGAATACGTCAAATGCAAAAAGCCTAGGGAGTATTCATTAGGGATTGTTGGGACAACATAAACCCTGATAAAATTAGCTATCACAAAAATACATTATTAATGAGTGCTCTCTGGTTATTTGTTAAGTATATTTTATTTGGAATAATTTAATTTCTAATGTATTGATTGTGCGTAACACGATACATATCGGTGCATTGACAACTATATTATTTACTTAATTGATTGCTTAACGAGTGCGCCTGCAATTGATGTACTTATAACAAGATCGTACGAAAGAAAATCTTAACTTGTCTCAAGACTTCTTGTTGGGTTTACTGCCCATCTAAGGAACTTAAACAAAGAATTCACTATGCACGATTTAAGAAAATCGAATAATTAATTGGAATGGACCTTTTTTAAGTTTGCACCTCGTACTCTGGATCTACTTAAGATTCTGCATTAATTTTTTTCTATCAACTTCTTTTCTTTAATCTGTTTTCTATTAGCTTCTTCTTTTTATATAGTCCTACGTACATATAGCTTCATAGCCGGGCGGTGAGAACCGGTTTTCGCGCATCTCGACAACTTCGAGATAATCTTATCTATAATAGATTTATTGTTGCAGAGCAATAATGTTTGATTTTTTTTTTATTTTTTCATTTGACTTTTATGTTCCCAACAAATCTAATCCCGACCCATTTCCGAAGATGAGATGTAAATGTTGCTAAAAAAAATCAAACATTATTGCTCTGCAATAATAAATCTATTATAGATAAGATCCGGGCCGGATCCGATGCCACTGGTAATGACATCGACGGGCCACTTTCCTTTCCTCTTTTTGTACTTTTTTATGTTCTTATTTTTGTTGTTTTCAACAACCCCCTTTCACCCTAGGTGCAGGATACTATTATGCAAGCCTTACTCGATAGTAACCAGCGGAAGCTGATATGGTGTCTACTTTCACCACCCAAAGTCCCCCTAAGTCCCTCTTGTAGATTTTTCTTCCCTAGGGGGAGGGAATACGGGGTGTTGCAGGGGTCTCCCATCCCAGGCAGGATCTCCCCGCAATTAAACCCCTTGAGCCTTTTAAAGACTTGCTCGGGTCTAAAAGGACGTAAGTGGAGTCCCCCACCCACAAAAATTTAGCAGCATTTACATCTCATCTTTGGAAATGGGCCGGGATTAGATTTTGTTGGGAACATAAAAGTAAAATGAAAAAATAAAAAAAATCAAACATTATTGCTCTGCAATAATAATCTAGGGATAAGCGCATTAGAAATCCTAAAACTTATCACGAAAGTCCAATTGAGTCCTAAAACTTTCAAAAAGTGCAATCAAGTCCTAAAACTTGTCATGAAAATGCAATCAAGTTCTAAAACTTTCAAAAAGTGCAATCGAGTACTAAAACTTATTGCGAAAGTGCAATTGAGTTTTAAAACTTTTAAATAGTGCAATCAAAAGAATAACTTAATTGGACTAACTTAGTAAGTTTTAAGACTTGACTGCACTTTTTGAAAGTTTTAGAACTTAATTGTATTTTGATGACAAGTTTTAGGACTTTCAATACACTTATTCCATAAATCTATTATCGATAAGATTTGGGCCGGATCCGATGCCACTGGTAATGACATTGATGGGCCACTTTCCTTTCCTCATTTCGTTGTTTTTATGTTCTTGTTTTGTGCCTAGAATGATCGCATGAAAAGAGACGAAATCTATCTTTAAAAAATAAAGAGACGAAAGATATGGGAGACAGCGATTTATTTCCTTCAACCAGGGGTGTCTCCCGAATCCTTGGTGTGGTTGAAGGACTACCTCACTAGGAAATAGGAGCCGAAGCTCCGATTGAGGCCACCCTGCCTGTCCAAATGCATATATTTGGCGGGCTGATAAGACTGTGTTCTTTATTTTAATGTGCCGGTGTCCATACACTCAGCCCTCTCAATTGGAGAGAAAGTTTTTCTTCCCTCTCCCCAAGGAATACTCTTGAATTTATCGTCTTAGAGTTCAGACGAAGCAATTTAAGAACATACTCAGATCCAAAGACGAAAGATATGCAAGACAGCGACATATTTCTAAGGAAGATGAGATTGGTTAAAGAACTACGAGATTTCTCTGTCTCTTGTATTCATATGATCTCTCGCAAGGAATTTCTAACATGGTATTAGAACCGGGCTTCCGCATCCTTCATACCCCGGGTTTTCGTGCACATGTGGCTCCCTGTTCTTCTATACCACGTGCCTTCTTATGTACAATTTCAATCCGATTTGCACTTAAAATGAGGTGTTAAAGTACGATCCTATATTACTTGATTATTGAGTTCGATTGCGCTTTATAAATATATCGTCTTTCTCTTTGTAACAGTTTAAGTTTTTTCATTGGGCTTTTTGACAAGAGTCTTGAGCTCAAGGTTTCACTTTATGGAGTCAAATTTATTCTCCCGGCAAAGGATATACTCCATACACAGTATTATCGGAGTAAATCATGAAAGCAAAGCAAACATAGGTCTTACCAAATTGACATGAGACGTATAACCTAGAAGTACTCATCCATGATATTGGTGCATGCTCATTCAAGCCAAAAGTGTTCTATAATGATTAAGTTCGCATTTGGAATTATAACCCAGGTGTGTTTGCTTGAATGAAAGAATTTTTCAGTAAATTATTTTTCGAAACCTTCACAGGTTTGGTTTGCTGCAAATGATCAGGCAACGGAAAATCATTTACTGTTAAAGAAAATATGCAAGTTTAAAGTTAGGAAATTCATGTGTAAAATGATCCTTCGATGGAAAACTATTTATGGTCAAAGAAAATATGCATGCTTAAAATTAAGAAAATGAATTTGAAAAGAAAAAAAATATTTTTTCTGGAAAATGATTTCTCGGAAGATATTTTCCTTTAAATGAAGTTTCCCGAAACAAACACGCCATTTTTATTAAAATATTTTAAATAAAACTATTGTGGATCATTAGACAGTTTGCTGTGCACTCGACAGATTCAATATGATTTTTCTAAAGGTACAAAGTGATATTAGTTGAGAGGTTGGTTCAAATACGATAGCTGCGATACGTGTTGAAATTTAGGCACATAATGTTCCATATGTTGTCCTAATGTTGGACCGAGCATTGGTAAGCCAAGCGAAACACGTCAAGTCACTTTTCCCTGAAGAACTGTTTCCTGAGAAACGAACTGGCAGACGAGTGGCTTGGTTTCGGATCAACCCCTCTTCGGTGGCATCTCGCCGAACATCATTAGACCTCTGACTATATATATACGCAAGTTCTCTCCACATCATGAAAAGCCATATGAGCAAGTAGGATGGAGACGAAAAAGATAGCCATAGTTGGTGCTGGGATCAGTGGCCTCCTAGCCTGCAAATACACCCTCTCAAAGGGTCACCAGCCCATTGTCTTTGAGTCCCAAACTGGCATCGGAGGGGTCTGGACGAAGACTGTGGAGACCACAAGGCTCCAGACACCCAAACCAGCCTACCAGTTCTCGGACTTCCCGTGGCCGGACTCGGTCACCGAGGATTTCCCCGATGCACATCAAGTTCTCGAGTATGTCGAGTCGTATGCCCGGCACTTCGACCTGCTTAAGCACATCAAGTTCGGCACCAGGGTCCTTAGCATCGGGTATGATGGGCCGCCTGGCGAGGCGATGCCGTCCTGGAGCCTGTGGGGTGGCGACGGCGGGCCGTTCTGCTCAGGCGGGAAGTGGAAGATCAGAGTGCAGGATTGTCTGGGCCTTCAAACTGTGGTATAGTATGCCTTCTGTTGTTGCATAATTGGCAGCTACTCTTCTTAGTGCAGTTTCATGTTACTGTCTCGTGCCAATACCAATTCAGACCGGCAATCCGATGCAATTTTCATTTCCATTTTGGGTTAATGATTGCTTGGTAGCGATTTCCTAGTTTTTACACTTGACCATCAAATGACAATGACAGACATATGAAGTGGACTTTGTGATCCTTTGCGTCGGGCGATTCAGTGACATCCCGAACGTACCGGAGTTTCCACCAAACAGAGGCCCCGAGGCGTTCCATGGCAAGGTGATCCACTCCATGGACTACGCAGCTATGGACTACCAAGCTGCGAAGGAGTTCGTCAGAGGCAAGAGAGTGGTGGTCGTCGGGCTGCAGAAATTCGCATTGGACATTGCCATGGAGTGCTCAACCGTTAATGGTAAGTGCGGAACACCTGAATCCCGACATCCCTTCTGGTAAACTGGAGCCTAGTCGGGGCGGCGTTACATTTTCTTCACCTTGTGCAAGCCACTCCTCCGGCTCCAGCATTTTGACAAGTGCGGATTCGTGGTGACTTCGTTTGTGTTGAAATTTTTTTCCTGCAGGAGTGGAGCGACCTTGTACAGTGTTGTACAAAACGGAACACTGGAACGTGCCGGATTATCAACCGTGGGGCGTGCCTCTCGCACTTCTCTACCTCACCCGCTTCTCGGAGCTCCTTGTGCATAAGCCCGGAGAGGGCTTGTTGCTGAGCCTCTTGGCCACAGTTTTATCACCCCTGGTACACAGCGAGATAAATAAATCTCTTCCAACTTCTCATCACATTGAATTGTCTTATTCCAAACGAATGTGGTTTGTCCACTTACAGCAATATAGGTGCCTTCTTATTTAGAGCTGCAAGGGGAATTTGTTTCCCAGCCAGTAATTTTGGTCACAGAAACTTGGATTCAAAATTATTCACATGGAGTAATAAAGTTGGATTCGGAATTATTCCGATTTAGTGCGTCATATGATTAAATCCATTAGCTGTTACATGCTGTTCACGTAATATTGTCCACTTCAATAACAGAGATGGGCGGTTTCCAAGTTCGTCGAAAGCGACATAAAGCGAAAGCTTCCGTTGAAGAAGTTCGGGATGGTGCCGAAACACAGTTTCCTTCAAGAAATCAGCTCCTGCTTGATCTCGACAGTACCCAAAAACTTCTATGACAGAGTGGAAGAGGGAAGCATAATCTTGAAGAAGGCCCCAGGATTCAAATTCTGCAAGAACGGGATTTCGATAGATGGAGAGGTTGAGCCTCTGGATTCAGACTTGGTCATCCTCGCGACTGGGTTTAGGGGCGAAAAGAAGTTCATAGAAGTGTTTGAGTCGGAACTGTTTCGGGACAGCTTATCTGGACCTCCCACTTCAATAGTTCCACTATACAGGTATTGCCAAGAACTCCCCTCCTGCTAAAAGCTAATCTGGTTCTTGTGTCCTGGGTTCTTATAGAGATTTAGGTGCATTTGGTTTTGGGAATGATTTTGGTCTTCATTTGAAGTGAAAATTTGTCTACTTATTTGTCCTTTTTTTCTAGGAATGTCTTTGGTTTCTCATTATTCATCTCAACACTTTTTTTCTGGGAATGTCTTTGGTTCTGATTTGTCCTAATATATATTCTCAATACTTCTGGTCTTTCTTTGGCAGAATAAATAGACATTCCGAGACCTCCCTCGCAAAATATCATTTTCCTTCTTGTTTTACTGGGAAACTCGCGAATTCTTCTTGATCGATTGTTTTTTGTTTCCCGAAAGACACAGAACTTAAAAGTTGTCGAGTGCATTTTCCTACAAGTTGCCTTTACAATAAAAAATTGTAGTCGGAAACTTTAAAGCATGAAACTGCGCAGATTTTGCTGTGGAAAATTCAGCAAAAAGATGAGTAGCCTGTGTTATTTCTCTATAGTTATTGGCTCGGACTCAATTATGTGATCCCATTCAATCAGGGAATGCATTCATCCTCGGATTCCCCAAGTAGCAGTGATCGGGTTCTCGGAAAGCATAGCAAACCTGTACACGTCGGAGATACGGTGCCGGTGGCTAGCTGAGCTCCTCGCCGGTACGTTCAAGCTACCTTCCATTAAGAAGATGGAGGAGGATATAGAAGAGTGGCACAAATACATAAAGCGATCTTCAGGTCAATACTGCAGAAGATCATGCATTGCTGCACTGCACATTTGGTACAATGATCAACTGTGCAAGGATATGGGATGGAATCCTAAGAGAAAGAAGGGATTCTTTGCTGAGCTGTTTGAGCCTTATGGCCCAACAGATTATGTCTCTCCATGAAGATAAAATGTGTGCATCGTCATATTTCCCCTTTGTATTCCAGGTTCAGCAATTTTTCTTCCCCTTCTCTTACTGATGTGAAGTCATAATTTGCACTAAATAATCTATGATTGTATGATGAACTTTTTTTGGAGCACAAGAATTCTAGTTTGCCCTAAATTTGTGGATACGGCCATTGATCTACAACCTCAAAGCGACTCCTGCAATGAGATACGATTCAATCAAAGTTTTTCATCGCTTTAAGTCGTATGATCCTTCCATGACTGAAATGAATTAAAGGTGTAGACATATGATGGAGAGGAGAAATTGAAATCATCGAGCACTTCGCATATGAGCCAAAGAAAGAAATTGAAGAGGAAAATTGCATATGTTGCTATTGCAGAAAATGATTAAAGAAAAAAATCGCGAGTCTGGACACATTGGCGACAACGACATCGAATTCTCAAAGGCATAATAGAGTTTCAACATTGCACAACTCCAAGCCATCTAACTTAGCAAACAATAAAACTCCTAGCCATCTAAGAATGGAACCCAAAAAAAGAAGAATCGAATTTTTCCATCAGAACGTGGGAAGGTACAATTTTATGGAACAGAAGCGCCCAAAGATAAAACAGGCACCTGACATTTCTGTGACATGTGCAACACTTACAGACATACCGGCGTGCATCGAAGGCAATAGGCATACAAGTAAGCATCGAGGGCAACAGTCTCTGATATAAATGTCCTCACTGAATATGATGGAAAGAGAGCAGGGGCAAGATCAAAATCAGGAAGAAGTTCCAGCTAAATGCCCGAAAACTGTCCTTCATGGCGAAGCTATTTGAAACTGTTAACAAAACAAGCCCCAAAATATTAGGAAACTGTAGGTAGCGGACTACACGTCACAATGACAGACGTTCCAGTAATTTACAGAGGAAGAAGTACAAAAAGTAAACAACTCGACCTTATTGATACCAGTCAGGCATAGGGATAGCCAACAATTCCACAAAACAATTGATTCCAGCAGCAAGTTCCATCATTTTTAGCTCACGGGTGAAATCTTATGTTATATTTTGGCAAATCTAAAGAGATGCAGTGCATCGCAAGAGAAAAAACTTATGGCCATAGTGTATACCCAAAAACAATGCAAACAAAGCTCCAGACAGAGGCTTTTGCATCAACTTGGGAAAAAGTACAGTTCAGTACTTTTGTCGAAATATTTCAATTTTTTCCATCTTTTATAGTAAAACCTTGAAGTAAAAATCAAGAATCAAATTAAGAATAACAGGTATATTAAAATGTTATATAGCTTTTAGTAGGCTATTCGAAAGAAATGCAAACTATGGGATAGGTGAAGCGATCTCTTCATCAAGTTCATTTTCATAATCTTCATGAATTTCGAGTATGTACCTGGACAAGTGGTATCGGTGACAAGTGCTGTCAAAATAGTCTGGTTAGTATAACCAGCATAGGCACAGGTTGTGCGGTTACAGGATGTCGAAGTTGAGTTGCCCAGGTATAAATTTGAACCCTCACATTGCATTGAGGGGCAGAGCGACCAATTAGACGGCTTAAGCTGGGATGGCTGGCAATGTAATCTGTTCATGTATAGGGAAATGAATCATAAATTCTGAGAGATTGATTGGAAAGAGAAGAATTACGGGAAGGTTGTCCACAAGAATGACGTGGATCTAAAGATATTCTAGAACAATAATACTGACGTCCAGTTATTTGCTGCATCACAGGTGCACATCACACAATTGTTAGCGGTGAAGACATAATTTCCATTAGCAACGCGTAAATAGGAGTCCAGCGAATCATTCCTTATTGCAGATGCACAAGCTGCATACATAATCAGAGAATTCATCAGTATTTCTGTTAAAGATTGGAGTACAAGATTACCGAAAAAAATCAAGCTTACTATGTTGAAACAATGGAAAAAGCACAGGCGGGAAGCATCACAAACTATCTATAGGACATCTGGCAACTGAATCTTAAATCGTAATGTCGGTGGGTCATGAACTATCAAAATGGCATCTGGCAGTTAAATCTTAAATCAAAATGGTGGTAGGTCATTAAGCTTAAAAGTATCGATCAGAATTGCCAATTCATAGAACTATGCTAATGTTATGTAGAACAAGAATCTTTGTACAGAGTCTGACCAACAAGCATAATGTGGCAAATAAGGGGGAGATTAGATTGTCATACTGTCTGCATTGATTATCAATCGTCAAAGAAAGTTAAAGCCAATTGCTGCCATTGTTAAGCCATCAACCTTTTCAAGAGAGAATCATAGAGCTGAACTCTTGAACGGAAACAAGCCAACAGAACTGTTCTTGGCAGAGAACTGCGTCATGTGGAGAACCACTTTTGCACATTCATGCATCACCACTTGGATTTTGAGTTAAACTAGATCTTCGATGTTAAAGACTTAGTAGAACTGGGTCAAGTAAAAAATGGGGCCTCTTTAGACTGTCCCAACTCCCTCTCTCCTCTCTCTGTTTTCCTCCACTAAACTTCCATAATTAGAAGCAATAGCCAAATTTCAGACAAGCTCTTGAAAATCTCTTCCTAAAGGAGAAGCTATGTAAGGACTCAACTGCCCTATAGGAAAATATCTCTGGACAATGACTTACTAGAAGGAAAACCCAGATAAAAAAGTGCCTTCAACAAGATGTGATGTCGTTATAACCTTCTTAAGATAAAAACAAAAAGATATGAACCAGATATCACATCCTTAATTTCGATGACATCAAAGAGACAATGACCAAAGAAAACTATTAAATCAAGGAGATACAAGTTACAACCACTTCAAGATTATATAGGATATCATATAGTTCTATTTTATTTCTGGACAGTTCCTACATGTGGTTAGATCAGATTTTGACTAGGGACCACACAACAGCTGAATCGTTTGCAGCTCACTAGTAGCCAGCATCATTCACGCAGATCACATGGTGGGAGGCACCGCAAGGCCCCACCATTGTTGTCTACCAAGTCGTAGGTCTACCCTATAATTCTATCAATAAATCTAATCAGTCAGACCCAATTATGAAGCGAATCAATCCAAAAACTCAAAGATACATCGAATCTCCACCCTGATTAGCAGCCAAACTCACTGGCAGATCCTCCAAGCAAGATCAATGCATGGAAATCAAAAGCACAAGCAGAAAACCTCACGCACCAAGTCCTATCCAATTTTCTTCTACCCTGTACGACACTCGCGTATCTCAAAGTATCACCACTGTTGATGCATGTCTCATTTACAAACATTTCATCCCCAATCTTTAACCCCCTCAATCTGAAAAGGCAGTTCATGTCTCACCACAATTACCCATCTAAGATTCTGAGGAATATCCCCTTAAACAGTGCATTGCATAAGGAAGAGCTCTCCAACCAAATACGATCTGAACCACTCAATCCGGTGCAGTCCACCCCTTTTGAGAGGAACATCAAGAGGAACAATCCCACTACTTTCTTTCTATGATAATGCAAAGTGGGTCCTACCCACACCACACTCTCTCTCCTTCACCACATCATGACAACAGCTAAAATCCAGCAACAAAAACAAAAAGGCCAATTCAAGAAAAGTCCCTTTCAAGTCTTCACTCTTGAGACTCACAAGGAAGGTTTCAAAACCATATGGCAATAATAAATGAATAAATGACTAAGTAAATGTAAAAAAAAAAGGCAGGAACCTTCGAGAGGAACATCAAGAACCTGCCCGGCCTGAAGGCTCTGAACGTCCGCGATCCCGTTGATGGCTATCAGCGTGCTCTGAGACACGTTGAACTCCGTCGCGATCGCCGCCACGGAGCTCCCGGCGGCCACGACGTGCGCGTAGTGGACCACCTCCTGGCCGTCCACGTCGTCGCAGCTGCAGGGCAAGGGGACCCACAGCTTCTGCCCCACCACGATGAAGCTCGCATTGGGGAGCCCGTTCGCTTGCTGGATGTCCTGATAGACGAGCAGGTTGGAGAAAACCTCGCGGGCAATGTGGTCCAGCCCGTCGCCGCTCCGGACAGTGTACACGGGGCGCCGGTTGGAGACGCCGGTGCCGTTGGAGCAGGAGCAGTTGAAGGGGACGGCGACGGTCTGCTGCGCGCCGACGGTGGCGTTGGGGGGCGTGGAGAGGGGGAGGTTGTTGGCGCCGAGGATGGAGCGGAGGTGCTTGACGCCGAAGAGGGCTTGGACGGCGGCGAGGGTGGTGGCGTTCGGGGACACGTAGCCGGCGATGGACAGGCACGTGGCGGCGGCGGCGGAGGAGGAGGAGTTGGAGCAGTTGAAGCCCAACGGGGTGGAGGGAGGGAGCAGGGAGCAGAGGAGGAGGAGGAGGAGGAGGAGGAGCGCCGCCTCAGAGGAGCCCATTGCTGCGGCGGCGGCGGCGGCGCTGGTGGTGGTTGAGGAGAGGAGACAAATTTCGAAAGTTTTGAGTCGGACTCGTGCCCGCTTTGTTTGATTCCTCTGACGCGGTTTTGAAAGGTTCTTCTGCTTTGAAAATTTTTCTCGAGTGCTCGTGTCAAGGCATCGCACGTGATCTGCTCCATACTTTTCCCTAAGGAAATTCAAAAACCGTTCCGCGTTTAACATTTTTTCGCCGTGTTTTCCTTTCTCTTTTCCCCGCTTGGGAATTTTATTGACGTGACCCGTGAAATTGATGACATGGACCGTCGAGTTTTTTTTTATGAGACGCGACATGGATGTCTGCGTCAATGACATTGAAAATCGAGAAACAGGCATGGTGACCTTAACCGTAAACCAACCCGGGTCCAAACCCTTGAGAGACCCTTCCCACCAACCCATAGGCTATGGTCACGGACCTTGTGGTGGTGTAATAGTCTGGTTTTTTTTTTTTTGTTTTTTTTAAGCGTTTGGATTTTGAAGCGATTGACTATAAATAATGCCATCACAACGGCGGAGTTAGAACTATATGCCAATGGCCGCAAGGTCCGTGTAAACCAAAACCCCCCGAATTGAATTCTAATTAGGGTTTCTCCTTCTTTCCCAAGTTCCGCCCATTGCTTTGATCTCTAGCACGTGCAATTGGAGGTTTGGATTCTCCGGTTTGATCTTGTCCATCTTCCCTTGGATTATGATAGAATAATTAAATATTAAACTGCACATTCATCTGATAACTTAAGTTTTTAGAATAGTTAGCAGTGGTTCTACAAAATCTCACATAGTATCATGGCGTGCACGAAGAACTGGAGCTGAAAATTGACTGGATCCATACGAGTGTTTGAAATATGTGTACTTAATCGAGTCTATTCCATAATAGTCGTGTTTCGACGCTAATTGCAATAACTGTGCGCCTAGTCAAGGTTTTTTTTTACAGAGGTGATTTTCTTTCGATACCAGCTGCACGGGCAGCATCCAGTAACTATTTTCCAAGCCAACCATATAGGCGGCTTGATGCTACAACACCAATCATATAGGCTACGTCGCTCAGTTACCGTTTCGCAAGCCAACCGCATTGGCCACTTGATGTTTCCCCTCAGATTCTCGTCCTTTGGGGCATTATTTTGAGAAGCCATCACTGGGCATTTCAAAGATCTGACTGAGTTCAATTCCCCAAGTCCTGGAAGCTGGAATTATCCGTGCTCTCATATCAGGACGCCTTATGGATCAATCATAGAATCGATAACTCAAGAAGGTAGATTGTTGCGAAAGTCAAACGATCGAATAATAAAATTTGACAGAACAAGAAAATAAAATCGGACACCAAATTTATGTGGTTCGGTCGTAGTAACTTACGTCTACGGGGAGAGCAGCGCGGAATTCCACTATAGATCAAGCAATACAACGAAGATTATAACCACACTTAAGTCACTTAAATACTCTAAGTGTTTCACAAGCTCCAATTACAACCAATAGCTTATACAGTGTTTAGCCCCACAATACCTCACAAAATAATCTTTCATTCTCGCAAATGAATACACAAATCATACCATAAGATTTAATCACTATAAATATTTGAATTCTTGGTATAATTCCACGAACAAAATTACGAATACATTGCCAAGCACCCAGCACCTATAGACGACCCACGGGAGAGAGAGAGAGAGAGAGAGAGAGAGAGAGAGAGAGAGAGAGAGAGAGAGAGAGAGGGGTAACGGCGCTTCAAGAGGACTTCTCTGTTCAAAGCATCCCCTGACCAATATTGTCAACGAAGTCATCCACGCAAAGTAAAAAGTAATCCACGTTCAGCATCCAAAAAGGATTCGGTCAACAAGTCAAACTTCCTTTTTCTTTTTTTGCGTTTATTTTTTATTTTTTGGCTGCCAACTCTTGCACGTAAGGAAAGTAAATTTCCGATATTTCCTTTTGCTCGATTTTGGACGTCTGCAAAATACCAATTCAGAATATTCAAATTTTTATTTTGGGCTCAAACTCGAAATATATTTTAATAATTTTCACCTTAGCTTGACGTTTGAGTAAAGTCACAATCGTTTCGTTGGAACTTCGTTACTATTCTCCCACAGCCCCAATGGGCTCAACCGCCACAGACGTTTTCCAAATCTAAGCTGTGCTTGAACTTCGCTATAACCGTGGACCTCGTCAGAACACCAACTCTACATGCACTTTTAACTGCTCCGCAAGAATTTTCCGATACAACCTCCTCAACCGCAGATAAAGCAAAACTATCATTGCATCCATATCTGTTATGAGATCGAATACGCACCTTGTCAATATCAGTAGTTACAGCAACTATTGGCTCTATAGGCTCCACCTCGCTATAAGTACCATATGTATCAATTACTTCGCTAGTACTCACTACCTCAGGAGTTTCTAGTTGCAACTTCACCTCAAGCTGAACACCGTCCAAATCCGTATAAATACTGCTATTAACACTCCTAGCCAAAGTACTGGAGACTCGTTAAATGTAACTTCTCTGCTAACAACATGTGAATTTAATTACGGGCACCATAACTTATAGGCCCGCTCACCTTGTGCATAACCTAGGAACATACACTTCATTGCCCTTCCATCGAGCTTACCATCACTAACTCAAATATAACACAGGCAACCAAATATTCTAAGAACAGAATAATCAGCAACGTGAGCTGACCACACTTCTTCGGGAGTTCGACATCTAATCGTAGTCGATGGAGATCTATTTATCAGGTAGCTCGCCGTACTAAACGCATTCTTCGGGAATCTCCTAGCCATATCAGCACTAGAGAGCATTTTATGGGCCGTCTCTAGTAATATTCTGCTCATCAACTCTGCAACCTGTTGTGGTTCAATGGCATTAGTGCAGTGTCTCACTATGCCTTCTTTCATGCAAAATTCGTTTAATAGCTTCGAGCAAAACTCCATGCTACTGTTAGTCTGCACATGCTTGATCGTTTTACCAGTCTCCTTTTCGATCAAAGCTCCAACTGCTTGATCCTGACAACAACATCAAATTTATGCCTAAGCACAAACACCCAAGTCTTCCTCGAGTAGCCATCTACAACTGTTAGCATAAATCTGACACTGTTTCTCGAAGGAAATCGCGACAACCTGCGAATATTCAAGTGAATCAATTTTGCAATTTCCGTTGTTTCTTTGACAATCGTACTGAAGTGCACATTCTGTCATTGATCTAAATCACAGCACCTGCATACATTCAGTTCGTTAGCCACATAACCACATAGCAAATTTCTTTCACTTAGATCCTTCAGGCTTCTCTCGCTAATGTGGCCCAGACACATATGCCATAATTCAGACTCTCGAACAGATGCATTCGACGTCTCCGCAGCGAATTCTGTCACTGTCTCATCTTGAAGCTCATACCGGCCACTATACTTGATTCCTTTAATTATCACCAAGGCACCTCGAACAACTTTCAAAACTCCACATTCTGAAGAATACCGACACCCAGCTGAATCTAGGGCACTCAAGGAAATCAGATTTTTCTTCAACTCTAGAACATGCCTCACTCCAGTCAATGTCCACACGATACCATCATACATTCTAATTCTAACATTACCAACACCTATAACATCGCATTCAGCATTGTTCCCTAATTGCACTTTACTACTATCCGTGCACTGATAAGTTGTAAACCAGTTCCTATTTGGTATAGCGTGAAAAGAACAATCAGAATCCATAATCCATTTATCAAACGATGAATCATCAGTGATAGATAAGATATAATCAACATTATTCGAATTACTGTTTGCTATAGCAGCAATATCATCCGTATATTCAACTCTAATTCCCTTACCCTTCTCGTTCTTCAGCTTAAGGCAATCCCTTCGAAGATGCCCCCCTCTTGCCACAACTCCAACAGATAACAACAACAGTCCTAGACTAACTTCGTCTATTCATGTTTATATTATTTCTGCTAACACATGTACCAGTTCTTCCTCTATTTTCATCTACTGAAGCAGCAGATACATGTCCTCTATTTACTTCTACTTACCCTTCTCGTTCTTCAGCTTAAGGCAATCCCTTCGAAGATGCCCCCTCTTGCCACAACTCCAACAGACAACAACACCAGTCCTAGATTGACTTTGTTTATTCATGTTTATATTACTTCTGCTAACACGTGTACCAGTTCTTCCTCTATTTTCACCTACTGAAGCAGCAGATACATGTTCGTCAGATTTTCTTCTACGGATGTCCTCACTCAGAATTAAATCTTGAACGGCATCAAACGTCAAACTTGTTGACTAGAGGAATTACTAACAGCAGTAACAGTGATATTTCAACTATCAGGCAATGAGAATAATAGAATCAAAGCACGTACCTCATCTTCAAAGTCAATCTCAACTGAACTCAATTGACTAACGATCACATTGAATTCATTAATATGATCAGCAACTGACACACATTCGCTCATCTTCAAGTTAAACAGACGTCGCATCAAATAGACCTTGTTGATCGCAGAGGGCTTCTCATACATGTCCGATAGGGCTTTCATCAAACCCGCAGTGGTCTTCTCATTCACGATGTCAAACGTGACGTTAAGTACCAACGTCAGCCGAATAACACCCAAAGCTCGTCTATTTAGCAATTCCCAGTCATCTTGCTTCATCGCCTCTAGCTTCTCTCCAGATAGGGGCAAGTATAGATGATCCTCAATCTGCATCTTCCAGAAACTAAAGTCCTTCCCATCAAATCTGTCAATTCTTATTTTTTCTTCTTCTGTCGCCATCGATTCGCTTCAACTCAGCCAAGCCTAGCTCTGATACCAATTGTTGCGGAAGTCAAGCGATCAAACAATAAAATTTGATAGAACAAGAAAATAAATCGGACACCAGATTTACGTGATTTGGTCGTAGTAATCTACGTCCACGAAAAGAGCAACACGAAATTCCACTGTAAATCAAGCGATACAATGGAGATTACAACCACACTCGAGTCACTCAAACACCCTAAGTGTTTTTCAAGCTCCAATTACACCTAATAGCTCATGCAGTATTTAGCCCCATAATTCCTTACGAAATAATCTCTCAATCTTGTGAAGGAATTATACACAAATCTTATCATAAGATTTAATCGCTACAAATATTTGAATTTTGGGTATAATTTCATGAATAAAATTACGAATCCATTGC